TCGCAACCGATCGCAGGAATAGAACCCGATTCTATTCCTGCGATCAACATTATACCAACTATGGTAAATTTACATTTAATTTCTCGGCTTCCAAGATTTGGGAAGAAATTCCAACTCCTATAAAAAAGTTACTTCCTTTCAAACATTCAAAAAGCAAATGAAAATTTATCTCATTCACTCACAAAAGCGATAAACAATATTTAATGTAAAATACACTATCTTGGTCAATGCATTTCAATTTTAATTAAAATTATTCTCTTAATACTAGATAATGGATGGCTGTTGACTCAATAGTTTATACTTTTTCAACAGCCATACACACTAAACTTGATCTCACTTTGTAAATATTTATTCTGTATTTTTCATAATTGCTCAACTCTATTTGATTATTTCTATATTTTTGTATTGTAATTTTGTGTGTGAAATAAACTTGACTTGACTTGACTTAAKTAACGAACTTTTAGAATGTTGACTTTCGTGGCTAAACGAGGAACTATCGGGAAACATTGTTTCCATGCGTCTTGGAAGCAACATTTGTTGCGCGCAGCGTTGTTTTGCATGTAGCTAAACTGGGAAACATCGGGGAAACATGCGCGCGGTAAACATGTTTCCTCGTTTAGCAAGGGCCCAAAATTTACTTGAACCTATTTAATAGAATTAGTACATTTACGAGGGATATTTACAGTAAATTACCATATTCGTGTCGAAAGACACCTAATATAATTGCACGAACAACGTTGCCAAATTAAAGTAGTAAAATACTAAAAATACAAATAGCAATTAATTATCTTGATAAAAAATCAAAAATTAAAAAAAAGACATTCTTGCATTTTATTTTTTACGACTTAGTATTGTAAGAAAAATTGACAATGCAAAAATGAAGTTCACGATGCTAATATTGCTTTTGCTATGCTTATATTTGTGACTGTACTGTGATATAAACATGTGGTGTAAACATGTACGGGAACTATAAAGCACTTGAAGTCGGCTGCGCTTCGGCCATGTGTTGCTAAAGTTACTTATTTCGTGTTAAACAGCTAACACCATGCACGTTCATATCACAGTACAGAGGCATGGCCGTGTGATTTATATGGCTTGTCCACATCACTAGATTATCCAGGAAATAGTGTTTACAAAGCTAATATCAAATTACTGTACGAATTTCTCTCTTTCTYACTTTTTTCTTCCTGCACTAGAATAGTCAGGAAGTAGTGTTTACAAGGCTACTATCAAAATACTGTTCGAATTTCTCTCTTTCTCACTTTTTACTTCCTCACTAGAATAGACAGGAAGTAGTGTTTACAAGGCTACTATCAAAATACTGT